GACCTGACGTGCCCCTACACTCCGCAGAAGAATGGCATGGCTGAGCGGGAGATGCGCACGGTCGTCGAGTCCGTGCGGATGATGCTGCTGCACATGAGCGTGCAGCACCATTGGTGGCAACTTGCTCTACGACAAGCGGTATGGGTGCGCAACTGCTTGGAGTGATCGACGACGCCACCGGGAACGACTCCGTACCAGCTGTTGACCGGGCAGAAGCCTGACCTTACGCTGGCGCGGGTGTGGGGCTGCATGGTGCAGTTTATGGTTCCCGAGCATCAGCGCGGTGGGAAGCTGGCGCCGAAGGCTCGCTGGGGACTTCACCTGGGTGTGTCGTCAGAGAGTAAGGGCTGGGAGGTGCTCGACGTGACAGACAGCAAGGTGGTCACGTCGGTCGAGGTGATCTTCTATGAGACGCTGTCGCTGGAGGTGTGGATGGCGAAGTATGGGCCGGCGTCGGGGCGGACGCAGGCACACCCGCCGACGGACACCTCGACGGCGACGGTTCCCCTGCTCGCCGAAGTCGACGAGCCTGCTGATGAAGATGTTGTGGAGGTTCTTCCACCTCCCCCTGTTCTTGCTCCCCCCTCTCCCGTCGCCGATCTGCCTGCGTCGACACCTGTGTCGGCCACCGACGATGAGGGGAGCCTTGAGGCGTCGCCTGTGGCGCCGGCCAGTGGCATCGCCGGTGGATGACAAAGCGCCAAGCTCGTCGATCACGATGGGAAGCCGTCGACGACAGGGGAGCACCAGACAGGGGAGCCGGTCGAACAGGAGGCATCGGCAGGGGTACACTCGACAGGGGAGCGGTAGCCGGAGCGGTCGACAGGAGAGTTGTCGAAGGCAGCAGCAGAGGAACAACCGGTCGAAGGGTCGAAGCAGCTGGTCGACGACGTTCTCGTTGACAAGAAAGGGGAGCTGTCGGCGGGTGAGTCCACCGAAAGTGATATAATGGAAGTGCCGATCACGAAGCCCGAGCTGCGACGTACAGGTCGAGCTCGACGGCCGCCGGAGCGGTTGTGCTTACATGCCTGCCTACCGCCAGCTGCCTTCACAACGGTGTACGACGAGGTCGACGACGACCTGCTGTACGACGATGCCGAGGAGGATGAAGACCTGCTGGAGCTCGACCCTGATGTGCATGCCGACCTCGAACACTGCTGGGACATCGCCACGATGACGGTGAAGGAGGCGCTATCGAGCTGGAAGGGCGAGGCGGTGAAGGCCGCCATGGAAGAAGAAATCCGTAGCCTCATCACTATGGGGACTTGGGAGCTGGTCGAACGCCCACGCGGGGTGAACATCATGAAGAACCGATGGGTGCTGACGACCAAGTACCGCATCGACGACAGCGTCGAGCGCGAGAAGGCGAGGCTAGTCGTGAAGGGCTTCACGCAGGTGTACGGCGCTGACTACAACGAGACGTACTCCCCGGTGAGCAGCTACGTCACGCTGAGGATCTTCCTCAGCATAGTCGCCGTCCTCGATCTCAACCTGATGCAGCTCGACATGAAGAATGCTTTCCTGCAGAGCAAGCTCGACAGGGTGCTCTACATGTACAAGCCGGACTATTTCAACGACGGGACCGGCCGGGTGTGTAAGCTGCTGAAGAGCCTCTACGGGCTGAAGTAGTCGCCGCTGCTGTGGTACAGGGCTCTCGACGGTGTGCTGCTGGGCGCTGGTTGGAAGAAGAGCCAGGTCGACGAGGCACTCTACTTCAAGGTCGGAGACGACGGAGTGACCTGCTGGGTGCTGGTCTACGTCGACGACCTGCTTGCCGCTAGCAGCAGCACCGCGATGCTGAAGGAGCTGCTAGAGGCCGCCTTCGAGCTACGTGAGATCTCGCCGGTGGTGAAGTGCCTTGGGCTGGAGATTGTGCGCGACAAGCCGGCCAGGAATTTGTGGCTGCACCAGCAGGGCTACGCCGACAAGCTCCACCGGCGCTTCATCGACGAGGAGCAAGGCGGTCGAGTCCAAAGACACCGGTCTCGGTCGACGCCTACGCTCAGCTGACGTTCGATGATGAGGAGGCTCAAGAGCACGAGGAGGAGGAGTACCGGCAGAAGGTCGGCTCGCTGCAGTTCGTGGCGACGACGACCAGGCCGGACATCGCGTTCGCCTGCAGCAAGCTGGGGAGCAGCCTCACAGTGAGGAGTGACCAGCATTGGCGCGAGGTCGACCGCTGTCTCGCCTACCTCGCCGACACCCGCGACACTGCCCTGGAGTTTGGCGGTGGACCAGAATCGTTGGAGCTGATCGGCTACGTCGATGCCGACGACGCGGGCGACAAGCAGAACCGGACGAGCACGGGAGGCTACGTGTTCGTCTACGGAGGGGCCGCAGTCTCCTGGTCGAGCTCGCGCATCAAGTGCGCGACATTGTCATCGACCGAGTCGGAGTACGTGGCGGCAACGGACGCCGGCAAGGAGGGGCGTCGACGCTGGGAAGCCGACCATCCTCCGCGTCGACAACAAGTCGGCAATCACGGTCGCTGAGGGCTTGGGGCTGACGGGCAACCTCAAGCACATGGAGCGACGCTACGCCTGGCTGCAGCACATGGTGAGGCGCGGGAAATTTGTGCTGAACTACATCCCTACCACCGAGCAGCCGGCGGACTTCCTGACGAAGGCGCTGCATTTTCCGGCTTTCAACCGGTGCTCTGTCGCCATCGGCCAAGTTCGCCTGGTGGACGTCGGCGACGGCGATGACGAGGTGCAGCAGTAGGTGCCGTGCCCTTCTGCACGGCTGGTGCGGTGACGGCGTGCTGTGTGTGGGGTGCACGCCGAGGACGAGTTTTCTCCGTGGAGTACTGCCATGTGGGCTGGAGGCCCAAGCATGAGCGCGGCAGGGGAGTGTTAACAGGAATGGAGTGTTGGCCCCGCCCTCGCTTGGGCAACGCCGACGACTTGGTCGGATGCACGGGAGTAGCAGCCGACCGTTCACAGTGGGATAGCTGCTCGACAAGTTACGTCGAGCTGCAGCGGACCGCTGTGGTGTTGTTGTCGACCAAGGAGCTCGACAGCTGCAACTGACTGGTTTGTGCGACAGGTGGGCCGTCCGGGAGGTCGACGAAGCAGTCCGTCGACCTACAGTTCCACGGGGAGGTCTACGGAGCATCCCGTTGAACTGCAACTCGACCGGGAGGACTGGGGAGCATCCCGTCGACCTACAGTTTGACCGGGAGGTCGACAGAGCAGTTTTGGTCGACGGAAGGGGTCCGTCGACCAAGGGGTAGCTCGACGGCAGTTGTGGTCGACCAGGAGCGCCTGGTGGTCGACCAGAGGGATCCAGTGGTCGACCGGAGGCACCTGGGGGTCGACTAGAGCACCAGGGGTCGACTAGGTCGACCGGGTAACCTGCTCGACGAGTTCTGCGAAGGCTCGCGAATGTCGTCGAGATCGCGATGGCGCAGGCGACTTCGGACTTGTATCCCGAAGTCGATGTGGCTCGTCAGGTGCAGACAACAGCCGACGGATGCCCAACGAGGCAAGTCGGGCCAATCGTCTGCGCACACCTGCGAGCGCGCGCACTGTTGTGTTCTACGGGGCACGCCATCGACCTGCTTTGTTGGCAGGTCGCCCTTCTGCAGTGCTGGCGCGGCTCCTCTACGCAATGCTGGCAGGCGGTCGACCGAGCTGCGCTGGCGGTCGACTAGGCTAGCTGCAGGGTTGCTAGGTGCCTGATGTAGTCATTGTTGTTATTGCTTCTTGGACTATTCTGGAATTCTCAACTTTGCTAGTGGAAACTCTTGCCAATTTCTCCCGTGAATGTGCAAGCACTAAGGAACCAAGCAAAGCTACGATCACCTCTAGTAGTTCGTGCCAACCCTGTAGTCCATCTCACTACTACTGTAGAGTGTATCTCCGCAGTTTTGAACCGCGAAATGAAGGCGCAGAGAGCTGGGTCGAAGGAGGTTGCCTCCTGTCCGGCTATTATATCTGTTGCGGGAGCCACCGTGGAGCTTGCCCCTGAAAAGTGGAAGCTGCTTGGCGAAGATAAGCATCCGTTCACGGCTCATTTGTTCGACTTTGTCAATAGGTGAGATCCCGTCGAACCATACCCTGATTCCAGTGTGCACGCGTATTTTGTGGTCGCGATGTTCTTAGTGATCACGACATGTCCGCAGTATTTACTAATGGGCAGTGCAGGTTGCATAGTACACCCGTGGTGCATTTAGTGTTTTACAATTTCACTAATACCACTTTCCGCACAGCGTTATTGTTCAGAGGTTTCTGGAAAAGGAGGTGCAGGAGCACGTCCAAGTAGTGACGAGCAACGTTGTCGTGGACATGGTAGCGGGTCGCGATGAAGAGGTCGACGCCTTTGCCGGTGTGATGGAGTGCAATCTGGTTGCATTTTGCATGTGGTACGAGTAAGTATTCATTGGGAGTTTTTAAAAAGGGTCTGCACTCAATTTCATGGATTAACACGGTCGTTACTGCTCCGTCCAGGAACATCATCGACAAGAAGAGCTCGAACGCATGCATGCTCCTTCTACTTCGCTCGGACCACTTGACGCTAGACGGTGACCAGGCTTGCAACACTCAGTTTGTTCGCATTGCTACCCCACCTGTTGGCGCGGAACACCTCACTGCGACAGAGAAGATCGCAGAGTGAGTATCGCGGACAAGTGTCTGCTTATACCTCATGTTCCGTTCCGCTCCCTAACTAGAATGTTCCCGTGGCTATGTCTGTATGGTTGGCGAGGTGGTTTCAGGGTCGCGTTTGAGCGAATTTCGCGCATGCCTCCACCCAGTGCATCAGGTCCCGCCAGTTAGGGGATCGTACACGTTTGGTCGAGCTGGTATGTGATTGTGATGCACACGTTATTGACGACCACCGCTATCATCACACGTGCTCTCACATTGTTTTTGTTTTTGTTTTTGTTTTTTGTTTTTTTTTTTTTTTTTTTTTTTTTTCAGGACGCGGCGACTGTGAAGGGCTCCTGCGGCAACATCCCTTGCATGTTCGTGTTCGACAAGATTATAACCCAGTTGGACGAGATGGCTGCCAATGGTTCTGGGCTGCAGTACCCAAAGTCTAACGCCAAGAGTCTGAATGCACTGCGGCAGGAGGCGTTCCGCACCGCGGAAGAGCTCACGTTCAACATGAGCGTTGATATGACGCGACCCAAGCACGGTAGTGACGCTGACGGCAATGAAGCGGGTAAGGTGCAGAAGGAGGCAGCGGGCTCGCAAATTGCAGACCACGGTGTTCTCGCTTTTACTGGTGGTATACAGTAGCGGCACCCGGCATCTGAGGCTGACCGCATTGCGGACGAGGGGGCCGTGGATACCGCGAGAAAGAGGAAACCGGAGGATGAGGCTGATCGCACTGAAAGGCGTGAGAGGGAAGAGTCAAGCGAGGAGTTGGCGGAGGCTGACGAGGTCGCGGCCATGGCTGCCAGTAGGCCTACAACATCCGGGAAGAGCATCAGGCATCTTGCGCAGCATTTGGCCCCCGGAGCCGGGAGCGCGGGCCCCAGTGGTGAGTTTGGCGGCAAGAGTCCCGCGAGTTCAAATCATTGGCGGCGTTGCCAGCCGCAAAGCTGGCCGAGGAGATTATGCGGCTCGACCACAAGCTGGCATCACATGCGGAACAGATTGCTCGGCCGAAGAAGCGCCCTGTGTCTCGAGAAAGTGGTGTCGCGGTCGTCAGTTACGAGGACCTTGCCGCTGCCGTCGAGAGAGCGCAGCGTCAGATGGAGAACGCGGCTCTGGTCTTGGAGGAGGAGTCGAAGGCTCTCGCGTTAGAGAGGGTTGCACTTAGGGATCAGCGGAACCAGGAGGCATTGGTTCTCAGTCGCGTTGATGCGAGGCTGGGACAGTTGCAGGGGGTGATGGTCGACTCCATGGAAGGTGCTCAGAAGAAGCTGACAGACGAGGTCTCGCGGAAAATAGACAACATGTCGTCCGCGGTCTCGGCCACAACAGAGCGTGCCATCACCACTAGCGGGGTCACCAACGCACTGCACACAATCATTTCCCTTGTTGTCGGGAGCCCGCCGCCGCGCATGGACGTGGAAGAACAACACGCAACGGAGGGTGCAGAACCCGGAGACACGGAGCACGGGAAGCGGGCCGCGGGTGCGAAGGCGGAGAACCAGCGGGGGCCGATGAGGCAGAGAGGTCCACAGGCAGCGCCCGTGGTACGCCACCAGAAGTGGGGGACTGCATCGCGGGGTGCTGGACAATCTGCTCCACCGGGTTCGAGCTCGCGCTCTGTCCCCGCCGGAGAATTAGCGCCGAAACCCCCACTCCATGCGCAGGCAAACGCGATGCCGACGGCGACAGCATGCAAGGGCAAAGGGAAGGCGGAGGTGGAGGAGCCGGCTACAACTGGAAAGAGGGTTGTGAAGCTTGAGGTTTTGCCCGCGACGGCCGCGGCGTCGCAGGATGCCAAGCGTCCCGCGATCGCACCCGCACAAACAGGCCAGCATGGACACAGCGCCAGCGCCTCTGCAGGACCAAGCGCGGCCGTGGTTGAGCAGAAGAGCAAGAAACGCGGCCGCGGTGCCAAGATGCCGCCTCCTCCTCCAGTGTACACCATCGACGAGGACGGTGAGGAGGAGCTGGAGAATCTCTGCAATTTGTGGGTCGGGCCGACTGGAGACGGAGGTGAACAGGGTGGCGAGGGCGGACAGGCCGCGGTCGAGGTTGATAGTGACGGGGAAAGTGCGGACGAGGAAGACGGCCACACCCTGGTGGTGACAGTTGGCGAAACGGGTGGACAGGGTGACACTGGCCCTAAGCGCAGGGGCTGTGGTATCCGCCCTCCACCCAGGGGTGGACCAGGCTTGATTTCTGAACTGCACTTGGGGGGGAAGAAGCGTTGGCTAGGACACGGAGAGCGCAAGGACCTGCAATATAAGACCGCGGTCGCAATGATGCCGTACGACCTGAAGGTGGACCCTGGCCTTAACCTGACCCCCAAGCAGCTCCGAACGTGGGCCGCGGACTTGTTTGCTGCCATGGAGTTACATACGGGCCTGCTCATCACCATGCACTACCGCGATAGACAACAGAACCCCAAGTACATTGCGACCGCGATACTTATGCAGTGAAGAATACCCCCGATCGCAATCGGGAGTCACTCGTGTTTGAACAAACGAGAACAAAACAACATCATTTCAGAAGCACCAAGTATAGGGTTGTGCAAAACAACTATCGCGGTCGATACAATGTACTCATAACATGGCACCCATACGCGGTACTCTCAACGCGAACAAAAAATGGCCCAATCTAGTTATTGCAAGGCAGACATCAGTGCACAGTACTGTGGCCACGCGACTGTGAACTCAGATGCAGGAAGAGAGGCTTCTATGAGATGGTCCGAAACAAGCATCCATTTCACACGCAACTGCACCTCCGCCAAGGACTCCTTCTTGAGCTGGCTCAGGCTTAGCTCCACACTCTTCTTCTTCACCGCGGTCCCTTTCGACAGTCCCGACATGCCTACAGCTCCTGCCACACGGTCGAGCTTGTGGAGCACAACCGCGATGTCGTCTCCTTGCGCTACCCTGTGGGCGATGAAGTCCATGACTCGCTTGACACGATTTATCGCGTTCTGGCCGCCTTCTTCCTTTCCAATGAGCTCGGTCAATCGCGTACCTGCACCGCGGTTCACCAGTAGCGATTCTGGACTCTCTAGGATAAGCGGATGCGTGGCCTTGTACAGCTTCCATCCGTCCGACGGTTTGGTCACTTGGACCCATGGGAGCACGATCTCGTCCCGAATCGTCTCGTCCCTGGCCGGCGGTGCGGGTTTCTTTTGCGTTCCCAGGTCGGTGGTGTTGTGGCATTGGTGGGGTCAGCCGCGGTTCTAGTATTGATTGCCGAACACGGATCTGCGGTCGGCCGTGAGCTGTTCACGCTGAGACGCGAAAGCTGTGCCTCCAAATCATTCACAAGCTCGTCCTTCGCGACCAGCTTCTGGTCGCGATCCTCCAACTGCTTTTCAAGCTCAGTGACCCGTTTCTGAGTCGCGACCAGGTGTAAGCCCAGCCTGGTGTTGTCTGCCTGCGCATGGGTCAGGTACTCAGTGAGGACTGTCACCCAATTTTGCACGTGCATCCTGGTACTAACCTCCTACATAGATAGATAGCGCGATGATGTGGACGAGGGTCGGGCAATGAGGCACATACAATCTAATCACGCGATCAGTGTTGGACTCACCGCGCCACGCGTCAATGTAGGTGTGTTGCGATGTACTATGGCCAGCTGATTGGCCAGGGATACGTCTGCAGCCCACTCCGCGAACTCCTGCTTCTGGCATAGCGGGTTCAAGACCACATACGGGTGCTTCGGCTGGTGGATGTAATATATGGCCAAGTCAATCGCGAGTGCCATCCTACCCTCGCCGTCAAGCTCTCGCAGTATGTTGACGCCCGCAGTGTCCTGTTTCTCTGACGTCTTTTCACGGACCATCCTCCGGTTGTAATCCATCCACTATTCGCGAAATAAATAGACGCGGTAAGAAACGCGATGGTAGTTTAATGTAAATGGTGATCACGATCGCAAACGTACTTGTTTCTATCCCTTGTCAGAGGCGGCCCATGGGAAGATGTGCTCCCTTAGTAGCTTCACCAGCACCGGGCTGGGCGGGACCTTTGCGAGACCCAGATAGTAGTCACCGACCACCCCTGTGAATCCCGCGCGACCATCTCGTTCGCGAGGAAGATCACGTATTTGCGTAAGCGCCATGGATTAGTCTCGGGGCCGTGGAACCACTGCTTGTCGCCAATTGCCTCCTTCCACCTAGTACCCATATTCTGTTTGAGCGCGGCCCCAATCTCGTTGGGGTTATTTTTCTTCAACGCGGCCTCCTCCTCGAACCTGTCCCCGTCCAGTTTCAGCAACTCGTGCGCCATAAACCGCTTGTACTCGTTGGCCCAACCGCAGTATTTTTTCAACGTGGCCTCTGACACATCGTATAGAATTCCCATGCACATCTCTCTCTTCGCAGCCGGTGTGTCGTCCACACCAAGCGTGTTCCAATCCGCGATCGGTGCCTCGTTGGCTGAGTGAGGTACCCGCACCCGATCGTTGTCTTCCGCCTCGTCCTCATTGAGCTCGGACAACAAGTTTGATAGGTAGTTTTCGTCATCGTCGTTCCACTCGTCGCCATCCTCGTCGTCGTCATCATCCTCGTCGTCATCATCCTCATCGCTCGGCCCCTCGCCCCCCTCCCCGGTCCCATTGCGGTCTGTGTCTGGCACTACATCGACTCTCCGCCTCATTATACGCGGCCTATTAACTGGTTGGTTCCCAGTACCTCCGTTCACGTTAGTACCGTTCCTTCTCCCGCCATTGCATGTTCCCCCAGGCACTCTCCCCCCATTCGCACTACCCCCATTCCCTCTCCCACTGGTCCCTCTTCCCGCGTTCCCGCTCCCACCATTCCCTCTCACACCTGTCCCTCTCCCAGTGTTCCCTCTCCCCGCGTTCCCTCTCGCACCAGTCCCTCTCTCCATGTTCCCTCTCGCACCAGCCCCTCTCCCCGCGTCCCCGCTCGCACCAGTCCCTTTCTCCGCGTTCCCTCTCGCACATGCCCGTCTCCCCGCGTTCACGTATGGTTGACTACCTCTCACGGTCTCGTTCGCAGCAGTTTGTTGCATTGGGGTGCTAATGTGGACGTCCGGGCTCACTGACAACAGTGAGTTCACGTTCCATATTGGAGGCGAATGTGCATGCACAATTGCATTCATCCCCGCTCCACCAGTCACCGCCAGGCCTAAACCCTCTGTAACCGCGATCTATACTGGGCCGTCTGTTTGCGCTTGTGTGTCCACACCGACCACTAAAGGCTCTGGCGGGGCTTTCACTGCTGGTGGGCTTTTCGGAGGATTCGCGTTAGGAAAGGGGGTTGCCGGAGCGACGGGAGGCGTCGCGACATTTGCGGGCGCGTGCACCAAGAGGTCTAGTTGAACGCCGATGTATCCGTACCTAAATCCGTAATTCACGTATTGCAACCCGACGTAGCCATGAACAGGCATCCTAAAGAGCTGGCTTGTGGGCCCGGACGCGGACGCGGTGTGTTGTCCGTCAGTCTGTGTTGCTGGATGAGGCGTGAATACTCCATGCGCGTTCTGATCATCCTGTTGTCAGAACATTATAGCTTATGCATTTGTATAGGCTGTAGTGGGGTAGCCCATAAGGGGTACAACCCAATGTGGGTTAGTACTGCCGGATACCTCCCTCCTCCTCTTCTCATCACTCCTCTCCGCTCCTGCTCCCTTGCCCCTGTGCTGTGTACTCCTCTCTTCCTCTCTTCCACCTGACTGCTCCTCACTTTCCTTTACTCCTGTCCTCCTGAACTCTCTAGCTTCCCCCTTCCCTGTTGTATCTGCTCTGCTTTCTTGATGTGCAATCCTGCTGTCTACTTCTCCTGATGAGCTCTGCGCTCCTTCACATACTAGACCTTCTCTCCCCTATCTACAATCCTTTGCCTGCCATATCTCCCTCAATTCACCGCTTGCTCGGATTACAGCAAAACATTCGTGTAAAAAGGGAAACATACAAGCAATGGATAGTGTGTTCAGGATTCCTCCTATTCTACCAGCACTACCACCGCCATGCCGCGGTCCTATCGCTCCTGCCTACGGTAGCAGCTCAGGGCTTCTCCACACAGGCTTACAGCCATGCTTCCTCTTGCCACCCCTCCTTGCCCTGTCTGCTCGTCCTCCAGCTGTTACTGCCAGATCCAGCTGGCTTCCCGAACCTATCCTGCACACATAAGGAAAACAAACACGCATGCAAGCATTCACCCATCCATCACATCCCGTGCTGCTGCTTCCTGCTGCCGCTGCCCAGTCAGCCTTTGTTTATGCAGCCCGCCCCTCCTGGCTTACGTAAGTCCCAGCTCTCGCTTGCCCGTGCAATCCTCCAACCCTCAGGCTCGGCAATCGTCAGCTCCCCACCTCCCTTCTCGGCTCCAGAAACGTCAAATGTCTCTTCGGCTCCCGTCCTCGCTGCACTTCGCTTCGCTATGTACAATATGTCCAGTATATACAACCCCTTCACCGCGCTGCCTTACCCTTCACATTCATGCAAATGTGACAGCTGTCGGATACCTCCCTCCTCCTCTTCTCATCACTCCTCTCCGCTCCTGCTCCCTTGCCCCTGTGCTGTGTACTCCTCTCTTCCTCTCTTCCACCTGAATGCTCCTCACTACCCTTTACTCCTGTCCTCCTGAACTCTCTAGCTTCCCCCTTCCCTGTTGTATCTGCCCTGATTTCTTGATGTGCATTCTGCTGTCTACTTCTCCTGCCCCCTCCCATGACCTATTGCTGCCGACCTCGCCCTGGTCATGGGACCGGTGTAGCTGCCTTCCTGCTTCTGCTTTCCTGCGAGGGCCACGTTGGTGACGTGGTCCATGATTCTCTTCCCCTTTGCGTCCTCCAGCACCAACACTCCTGAGTCCCGAACCTCCCTCACTTCCCACCTCTGCTGGGAGACTCCCACGTCTAGTCCGTCCCGCTTAGCCCGCCGCACGTACACCGCCTGCCCTTCCTCGACTGTCGTCTGCTTTCCCGCCATCCTGTTCATCTGCCGCTGCTTATAACGGTGTATGTCCCGCAGCTGCACCACTTTCAGGCTCTCCATGGCCGCCGGTAGCAGTTTCTTCAGATACTTGGCCCTTGCGTCCGCCAGCGCCACCCACTTCTCCACCGTGTTGGTTCTAACCGTATCAAGCATCAGCCTTGGTGCATCCACTGGCAGTATGGGGTGCTTTCCGAAAAGCAGGTAGTAGGGGGAGACATCCTTTAGCGACGCCTGCTTGCTGAACCTGTACCCCGCCATCACCCATGCCAGTTTCTTGTCCCAGTCCCCCTTGTTTGCCTCTCCATACACGCGCAGCCCCTTCTTCACTGTCTGCACCAGTCTCTCCGTCAAGCCGTCACTTTGAGGATGGTACCTGGAGGTGGTGCGGTGCTGTATGCCGTTTTCTGCTAGCAGCTTCTTGAACTCCCCTTTGGAACTCAGTGCCTTGGTCAGACATCACCTCCCCGCATGCGCCAAACCTTGCCAGCACCATCTCCTCGAAGGCCGCTGCCACCGCCTCAGCCGTTTTTGCCACCAAGGGCCTCGCTTCCGCCCACTTACTCACATGCTCAATCATGAGCAGCACGTACCGCCTGCCCCTCCTAGACACGGGCAGCTCCCCCGCGATGTCCAACGACCAACGATACCCAGCTCCACTATGCTCAAGGGCTGCAGCTCTACCTGGCTCTTTAGCAGACTCGCCTTGTTCCTGCAGCACAGCTCGCACTTCTCCACCCACTCCTTTACTTCCTTGCGCATCCCCGCCCACCACCATCCCGTCTGTAGCAGCTCTATGGTCCGTAGTGGGCCGTAATGCCCCAGCTTGTTATGTACATCTCGGATGATGCCTTCCCTCTCTGCCGACGCTGGCACCCGTTTCCATCCGTCCTTTGTCTGCAGCTGCACCTGCTCTTGGAACCACCTGTAGTGCTGCCCCCGTGCCCTTGCTCTCGCTCCGGCTCCCCCGTCCTCAGCTGTTTCTCCCTTTAACCACTTCAGGGTTTCTTCGTCCTGCCACACATCTGCTGGGCCCTTTTGCCGTTCTCCTCCCGCCCCTTGTTCCCTGACCATGGCGGTCAACGCCGCTGCTGGTGGCTCCGTCTCTGGTTCTAGCTTCCCGTCCCCCCTTGGTGGGTTTCTGGAGAGCCCATCCACATGCTGCATTGTGGTGCCTGGCCTATGCTTCACGGTGAAGTCATATTCTTGAAGTTTCATGGCCCACCTGGCGTTCCTTCCTGTCAGCGTTTGGTTGTGCATCAGCCACAGCAATGGCTGGTGATCTGTGACTAGTGTGAAATGCCGCCCCTTCAAGTACACTCGGAAGTGTCCCACCGCCTAGACTGCTGCCAGCCCCTCCCCTTCGTAGGACAAGTAGTTGGCCTCAGCTGGACTGCAGGTCCGGCTCGCGAAGGCCACTACCTTCACTCCGCTGTCCATCTGACTCAAAACTGCTCCCATGCCCACGCTGCTCCAGTCCGTATATAAGATGAACGGCTGTTGTCCGTCAGGTAGCTTAGCACGGCCCCGGCCTTGACCGCCTCCATTAACCCGCGCAAGGCCTGCTCTTGCGGCTCTTCCCACTGCCATTTCTGCTCCTCGCGCAGTAGCTTATTCAGGGGCGCCGCTCTCTTGCTGAAGTTCTCTATGAACTTGCGATAATAGTTGAGAAACCCCAGTAGAGCCCGCAGGCTGCTCCTGCCCTTGGGCCTTTCCACTCGGTCTAGCACCTCCACTTTGGCTTTCTGAATGCTGAGCTCTCCTCCTGCCACTTCGAACCCCAGGTACGCCACACTGCCATGCCCAAAGCGGCACTTCCCTGGATGGCAGGTTAAGCCAGCCGCTTCGATGGCTACCAGCGTCACCTCCACATCCCTCACATGTGTTTCTGCATCTGTCAACGGGAGCGTTGTAAGGCCCCGTCCTCGCTTGGGCGGAGCCAACCTTGTGGTCGTATGTGCGGGGGTTGCAGCCGACCTGCAGCAGTAGGCACAGGGGCCACTGCAAGGGCGCCGAGTAGGAGGACACCGCCCTGGACGCCTGGTTGGCGTCCCAGACGCCTGGACGGCGTCCTGGGAGGCTGGACGCCGAGCTGGGCTTTGCCATGACCACCCGGGCGTCTGGTCGACGTCGTGGGCGTCTGCACCGCGTCCAGGGGTCCGGACGCCGACCTGGGCGTCGGGCCCCGACACCGACCTGGATGTCTAGTCGGCGTCCTGGGAGGAGGGACGCCGCTCTGGAGGTTTGGTCGGCGTCTTGGGCGTCTGGACGCCGACCCGGGGTTCGGAAGGCGTACTGGGCGCGCCTGGACACCGGACTGGGGACGCCGGGCATGCGTGACCGGCTACGGACTGCGCGAGTCGACCAGGCGTGGTTGCCCGGTCGATCGGGAAACCCGGGCGACGTGCGCGAGCGTCGCCAGGATGGAGACTGCGAGGCCGACCTCGGGGGTGGTATCCCGAGGTCGACGTGGCTCGTGGGGACAGTCGCTGGCGTGGAGTCTGCCAGGCGTCTGCGTTGTGCACATGACAAGGAAATGCGCACCAACCAGCTGCGCGCACCTGCGAAGCAGGTGCACCGTTGTCCTGCGAGTGCAACGCTGTGCAGCCGACTTGCTGCAAGTGCTGGCACACCGTGGACATGCAACGTTGGCGAACCGCTACTCTGCAACGCTTGAGCGGTGCGAGTGCTGCTGCGCTGGAGTGCGGTCGACCGTGCTGCGCTAGAGGTCGACCAGCAGCCTAGCTAGCACTGATGTAGTCTGTGATGCCAATGTTGTTTCTATGATTGTTGTCATGTTTTCCTAGTGAAACTCTTGCCAATTCTCCCCGTGAACTAGCAAGAAGCGTGAACACAAGGAAACGACTAAGTGAATGAACACAGAGATCACACGAGCACACGTGCCTAGCCCGTAGTCTAGCTCCCATTGCAGCAGTTATCTCCGCATGGTGAGGTGAGCGTGGACGACACCGCGACGTAGTTCAGTCTAGCCGACTTTGCACATACCGATCGTGTTCGTAGACGGGCAGCCGTGCAGT